GCATGCGTAAATAAAAACTTTCCAAATTAAATTGTTACTAAACCAACGTGGCGTCATTTTATTCACTTAAATTTATTACTAGTATTAACATGGAAATATTGAACTCAGCACCGGTAACCTGGCTGGGCCTGCTTCTATTTTGCCTCGCCCGTGTTATCGGTCACAAATGGTACTGTCCTTCGAATTTTTTTGTCCTCCTTCTGATGCCTCGAGCAAATGTCTGAAACTTTAGGCTTTGACTTGAAAAAATCTAGGAATCATTTACCCTTTGCTGGCGAGCCTAAATCAATAAATGTGTTCCAGAAATCTGTGCAGTTCATCAACTGGATGGATTCACATATATTTATTATCGTCCTTCGCTAAAGTTTAACTTGGTAAAATTGAGGATTCGAAAACCTATCTGTGAGGAGTCGTGGGTTCGAAGTGTTCAATGAAACGTCATGATGAGTGTTTGCTTTACGTGAATTGAACAAAAAAAGAGAGACAATGTACAGATATAATAATCGTAACGCAAAAAATAGATAAGTAAAGGTTGTCGCAACCGATCTATTCACGAACATCGTTTTACTAGCCACAGCTATTCGAGCCTTTATAAGGCAAGATACATGTAGAAATTCGTGACTAATCTCTAGCGTTGAACGGTTATCTGCATGGAAAAAAGAGGATCAAGGAGAAGGCGTTTATGTTTGTGTCCAATCACGAAACCGTCCGTATACGCCCTGAGTATAAAATATGGAAAAAAAGAAATAGCACATGTAATTACTCGAAAATACAGATATTAAGATTAAAAGTATGTTCTGATGTGTGTGTGCTTCGATCAGTTATGCAACATGTAAAAGATTCTGTCCTTCCTCGGAGTGCGTCTCTTCCCAATGCGGCTCGTCACCTAGTCTAATTTTCGTCTTCCTTCATCCAAGCTCTCATTAGCTGAGGAACGATTTCATATTTTATCTTGGTGCGGTCTCATTTTTTTACAGTCGCGTGTTTGGGCTGTACACGTTTTCGGAAATGTTTACGCTGTGTGTGCGTCTTAGGTCTCATCATGATTTGCTAGCTTGAGCCGCAGTAGGCATCTGGCGTGACCTTCGCACGTTGGAAAACATTGAGGAGAAGGCTTACATTTGATGATAAATCACGCTTTGGTCTTGTGAGTAAGGCTCGTCAGGTCTGGCTTTAGGCACTAATACTTCACACGAGTTGATTGTACTAGCGTTTGGGCTTTATGGTTCCTGTCAAAAGATATGCTGTTTATATTTGTTGCTATCTGTTTGCGATCAACAAAGAATGTATAGCTGTTTCAGCCAACGCCATTCACAACTCGTTTTGAATGGCGGAAGTAAATTGTCTGGAGCCGCCAACGTACTCCCTAGCGTTCGCACAATGGCCACCTACACGCCTTTACCATTTATTAAGAAAAAAAAAACGGACCTAACTGCGAAATTGGTCTTTCACAAAGCATTTCGGTCCTGTTAGCAGCCAGCGAGAATTCAAAATGTAAGCATAAATTTGAACATCTAGGAAATTGCTAGCGGAAACTAAAGAATGCCACAGAAGGGGTGTCAGAGAAGCTACTTATGATCCTTTTTGTCTACCAATGCTTCTAGGCATACCGTCATAAGATAGGAAAGGCGCCAATGTTGCTGTATGCGACGATCTCAGCTGTACACTGCACACGTTTAGAAGGGGAAAGGAAAACGTAGGACGGCCTTCTACGATCCGCGCTATGGTGAACGGGGTATTCCAGCGCGAGCAAAGTTGGACTGCAATCCGATTTCGGCTGCTTATAGAAGCCATAGGGACACGAAGGAAAAGATAAGAGAGAATAACACGGCTGCATAGAGCGCAGACAACACTGCTATAGTGAATATCCAAATATACTGCTCAGTGTCCGTAAGCCAAATTTTTACATGGCATTTCGCGTTAGATTACTGATCAGAACTGACACACAAATGTACTGAGAATGTCACGTGACTAGCGTAGTAAAGAAGTTGTATACGTGACGCGGCTGATACATTATAGGTAACTGCTAGGGAAGCAAATGTCTAATACATGACGCACGACCAAAAACGGAGTTAAATATTGTATATATCTATCTATTATATATCATCTATATATCTATATTTATCTCTCTCTGTCTATCTCATCTAAGTACCAGACGAAAACCTATCTGTTTCGATCAGGTCATCAGTGAAAAGCAATTCATATACGTGAGGTTATAAGGTAGCCGATTGTTCACCGAGATTTTAGGTAAACCCCATATCTTTGTTGTTTACCCCTCAATTATCTCAAAACGGATGCAGTATGTGGATGGATGGATGGATGGATGGATGGAGCAACCTAATGAAGACCGTACGTCCTCTAGCGAAATAGTGCACCGGTTCATAATCGCTGGTTTGTGAACAGTCAATTGCTTGAAAATTTGGCATATTTTACAATAAATGTATATGTCTATCGTACAGCCCAGATTTAAACCCGCTGAATTACAATGTATGAAACGCTGTAAGTCTCGACATAATAGCTCCGAGCCACTCTCTCGTGCTATTAAAAAAGGCGCTCGCAAGGGGCACAGTTGAAACATGCCTGTGAGGCTGTAATTGAGGTGAATAAGGGTTAGAAAATTCGTTGAAATATTTATTTTCATTTACACGTAGTCTTAAAAACAGGTTATGAGGAGAAGTCTGCATTTAGGCCGATCACCTTATGTATATATATCAGCCAGCTTGTTTCAGGTTTTCAGGTAAATAATAAATACATTGTTGCTAAATAAACCTTACGAGAACGCCGGTTTATTGATTTCAGTTAAGTCCTTTACGGTTACAAAACATGTCACATTAGTTCTTTTGGCTAACTATTTGTAGATAGCTAGTGTAGGATGTGACAATCGAAATACTTTGGCGTCTGCTTTTGTTTAGTAACATTTAGTTTTACATACAGTGCTGAAACCTATTACGCAGTGAGATACTGCACCGTAACTTATTATCTTACATTAATTAACGTAAGATAAAGGTGTGGTAATCTTGCTTAAGGGAACAGAAAAGTAAGTAGTCATTTTCTTAATCGACTCGACGAGCTCATATTTTGGAGAGATTCAAACATGAAAATAGTTGATACCTAAAGTTTTGTGTGTGAGGTTCGTTATAAATTTAAGGGGTAGGCAAGGAGCTCACATGTCTGAAATAGGATTCCTTTTTCGCTTCCTGAGCTGCCACGAGACTGGGTTTAAATATGTCATCTATCCTTTTCTCACACGTGGTTCATGCCGCACACATACACCAAATTCTATTTTGGGTTGCTGTTCTAGTTGTATCTAGCTGTTCTATCAAGCTATTTCATTGTTTCAGTCGTGACCCTGTTTTAGCTATACTTTTTGTCCCATTGCAGTGTTTTTTTTTTGGTATAACAGTCCTTTCGTAACCTTATTTCCTCACCTAGTAAATTCTGCATATCCACTGAGTCATTATGTTACTTTTACTTCGCTGTGTCATCATATTAGCTTGTTTTAGCAACTCGACCTCATTGTCTTCCAGAGTAAAACCGCCTTTAGATTACATGAAAGCAGTCAAGTAAACGATGCGAAAACACCTATACTTTTTCAGAAATTACCTTTTGCGACAACTGTCTATAGCCTCAGTAGCTGACGAGCTATTAAACTAGATCGACTATATTTGTGGATTCTTGTAAGTGGGCCAGACAGGACTGCAGTGTAAAAACGTAGGAGCTGCTAGGATACGTACACATCTTGATACGAAACTTGATATTTTTACAATATGTTACCTCGATATAGCATTACCGATTATGTGTGCTGATCGATAGTGTTACTAACCCGTATATCATAACCATGGTAACGGTACGTGGTACCAAAACGGCCACGAAACCTACCAGAAGCAGAAACCTATCTATCGCTTGCAGGTTAATTAAGCAACGCAGGAAACGACAAGGGCAAAAAAACCCTTGCAGCTACAATTGGTTAACTCAGAGCTGCCGGCCCAAATTAGCACGAAATTATTTTTGAGACATTTGAAAGTTACGAGAGCTATCTCTTTATATTGGGAGCTATATTGGGTGCTAAAAAGTGCTAGTGACTACAAGAAATCTGCAAATACTAGAAACGCGTCACAAGTTTGTCAGCTATTCACATTTTTGCACTTTCCCGCCAAAAAGCTCAGCGTTTTCAAAGTAAATCGAAAACACCAAATGAGTAATCGTCGTGTATACACACATAAATACTATTGCAACAATATATCAATAAATACTCGACATAGTAGAACCGTTCTGAAGATAAACGTTACCATAGTAGGACTATGTATGTAAAATTATGTATGTAAAATGAAATTAAGCAAAATACGACTAAAATATTTGAATATATACTGGACCGACAATTTCTAGCATTACACTTCGTCCACTTTTTATATTTAATGCTTACCCTTCCAATGGCTTTCTTCGACTACCCGCCTTTTTACAGCGTAAAGGAAAGCTGCTTTGATAGAAAAATCATCGGACATATTATATAAATCGGGTATTATCAGAAGTAACTACCGACACCAACAATAATTACCTCTCTGATATTGTCGTGCAGCCGATCGCCGAACATGTGCCACCGAAAACAGAAATAATTCGTAGTAAAATCTATCTGTAATCTTGCGCAGGTATAGGAACTGAGCAGTCCCTATACCTGCGCGAATAATTCTTCTGCTATTCATTGCTTTTGTGAAAGGAAGCCAACAGTTAACACGCTATTTTTATAATGGGTCTATGTTATTTGGACATTGGCCGGGTCAAATCTGATTCGACAAAATCCGTTCGCTGTGGCGCCAAAGTTAAGGAGATGCGAGATCCGCAAGGGGCCCAATATCCGTGCAGTAGGCACCCATGCGTGAATGCGGGGGAAAGCGAACCACCTGTAACTTCGACGAAGCGCCAACAAACGCTTCCTAAAAATGCTTAATCGTAGTATATATACCGGCCGAAGGGAAACTAGGAGGGCAAGAAGCCAGCGCGCCATGCGCAGCAACCGGACTCATACAACGACAGTGCTCGTCGCAAGCTGGGTAAGAACTGGTGAACTCTGAAATTTTGAAGACAGCAAAATCGAACGAAGATTTGCTCTTGCGGTTTTGTATATAGTCCAAAATTCAAAGGCGGTGACATTAACTTATGTTTGGCCTTTTACAAAACACTTTATATATATATATATATATATATATGTGTGTATATGTATCTATAGCGCATATAGAACACCCGCGTTCCTTAATGCAATGCTGGGTCATTAACTGTATTTGGTGGGCTATTTCTGAACACGACTCTTTTATGTTTACTTCGATTTGTTTGTGCCCTTATTTCTTTAACACGTAATTTGACCGCCTTGTTGGTCCTTGTTTATGTTCATCATTTAAAACATATTAAAATATGCCTCAGATGATGAATTTGAGACACTGCAGAACATGCCGCCGAATCTTAGCTTACGCCGCAAAACACATTCAGACTAAATCGATATTTGTACGAGGCATTTCTTCGAAAGGACCTCGAAAATTGACTGGCGCATTATTCAAATAGAAAACCATAACGCGCGTTTCAAAAGCGCGTCAAATTCAAATTGTTATGACAGCTTATTCATGTTGTTCTGTGGATAGAACGTACGCCGTAGTGTTCTAGCTAGCTTGGTATACATACATACATACATATATATATATGAAACATAATGGAGCTATGTACTTCTTAGAATCATTGGCACCAAATACGGAAAAGACTGCTAGAACTCTAGGCCTGTAAGGTAATGTGTCATGTTTTTGCCCTATGGCATACAATGTTAAGTTGTAATTCCAATAGTCAGCGTACACGAAGTAAGCTTATATAATGATATCTTGAAGAGGAAGACTTTATTAGTTAATTTAATTGGTTAGCTGTTAATTAAAGCGATAGGATCTGATACACCGCAACAGTGTTTAGGCAGAAAGGGTACCTCTTTTGAAGCAGCGCGACGATACATGTGCATGTCTAAGTATCGCTACATTGTCGTAAATGTTACCGACTTTGGATTTTACCCTTTTAGACCCTATAATTGCTGCTGCTGCTACTATATATGCCCGGACTGCAGTAGGCAGTGACTGCCTTTCCTATATTAGTTATCGTTGTTGTATTTGTATTTGCTAATGTAATTGATGCAGTGACACGTTAGAAAACTTTCCTTTGCAAACAACTCACGCGGCGCGGTGTGCGACCGGAAGCGATGAACAGTTGTTACTGTGAGCCCAACTCGCTTTCAGCTGGGGGTAGATTAGTTGTAGCATGGTGATGCTGGCGAGGGCGACCGTTGTAACGATCGTGATAATGATATTTTTCTTATTTTCTTAGTCGTTAGAACGGCAACCTCTATTTGCACTTTCATATCGGCTGTGACCAAGGGCTGGCTACTAGCACTTGCAGGTGGGCTTCTTTCTCTGGTATTAGCGAACAAACGTCGCCCAACGTTAATAAATTAGGCCTTGGCCTAGGATTAACGAAGGAACCGTGAATTCGTTTGATTGCTTGACCTCGCGGCGTTTAGATCAGGGAGTTAGTTACCCAACGTACTACTGGTTACTGCAGCACTGTGGACATTAACAATGCTTGGGTCACGGACCCATAGACAAGAGGACTACGCTGAAGTCACTTGTCTTATAACACTATCCAATGTGCTTGCCGCTGTAGATGTTGGTTCTGCTTTTGTCGGGACAAGAGTCGCCATTTGTTCCCACTTCTTTCCACAACAATACCCTAATAAGATACCTTAAGAAAAAATCGCTTACTTCATTTTTCTAGATGCATGTTTTTTTTACGTGCATACATTTTATGCATATAGAGATCTTACTACGAATTTTCATCAGTCCGAAATTTCCGTTTTTACTACAAACATCTATGGTGGTTGACCAACTTTTGTGAATTTTAGTGTGTGGAATTTTAGTGAAACTTTTTTGTCGAGTTGTTGAGGACATTGAGATGAATTGGGAAGTATACATTTTCTGGTGGTACACTGTGGCTGAGGCCATAGCTCTGACGTTGTGTGAGAAAGAATTGACAACGTTTACTATTTCTAAAAGACTAACTAGCTAAAAAATCCTTTGCACTTTATATACGTATTTATGCTTCATTAATTTCAAATAATTTCTCATTCACTGTGTATTTATTGGTAAAATTTTAGCTTATAATGATATTAAATTAATAATTAAAGCAATGTGTTCCACTTGTTCCATTTTAATTGAAATTTAGAAAAATAAGAAGCCTAAAACTTTTAGCAGGGAAATATTTCATATATGGAGACGTAAAGCTACATAAATAATCTCTATATACGGAAACCGCGAGAGCCCTATGACAAATATTTTGGGGGTCGAAATGGTATAAATCTTTAACAAAAGAAAATTCAAATTTTTCAGATGTCTAAAATAAGTTTAAGGAAATGGCTTTAGGCTTTTCATTAATTTCCTGAAATTATTCACTGAAGTTTCTTAGAAACGCATACTTCTCAAGCCTACGAGGATACGACTAGCATCCCATAAGCAAGGCTAATGGCTAATAATATTTCGGCGAAATATAAAGAAATTATTATGTTTTTTTCTTCGATCTACATATGTAACACAAACTGAATTTTTTTTTTTGTTACCGTCATATGTAACAGAGTTTTATTTGGTTTTAATGTCTATCAGAGAATAAATCATCGTGAAAGAAACTAGAATATGTGTTGAATCTTTCAAAGACTTTCCGCCAATAGTAGTAGAATAGTTGTAATAACTATCTTACTAAACATTAACTACATCTTGGCATTAAGACACTGGATGTTAGTAGTTTCCAATGAAGCGCGAATTTCAAAAATGTTATCTCTCTTGAAGTACAATTTGAAGTGTCTGTGTTATTGTATATTTGCGGAACATGAGTAATTGTTTTGCCGCAAGAACTTTTCGCTTTATACATTTAATATTTGCCTTTCTCCACTCGTCTACATTTCACTCAATGCGCACTTTTTTAAATATTTTAAGTTAAAGTTGAGCATTTGGAAAAGCTTTCGTACTACGGACCGAGGGTGTCTTCCTTCCTTAATTAGCTGTGTGACACTTATGTCTGGTTATTATCGGAAAGTTATTGCCCTTAATATTTTTAGAGATACAGAATGTTCATACGTTTTGACCGCTTCAATCGCGTGAAGTTTGTATTCTATTTTGGAACTCGAATCAATTTCGTTGCCTTACGGTACCACGGTATATTTGTCTATTAATTGTCTAACTAGGTATAAGTGCCATTACCAAGCATATAGTTCGTACAATACGCCAAATTTCTTGGCATACTCTGACAACTATTTCACCACAGCTTACTGCCCTGCTGGCGCTGGTCGCCGCAGAAGTGTCGCCAACTTCGCTGGCGAGCTCACCAAGAGCTGATGTGACACTAGGGGCAAAAAGTAATGTTTCGTACAGCCCGCTCTTGTCAAGTTTATTCTACGCTAAAAAAAAACTCGATGAAGCGGATGTTTTTCAAGTAGCTGAATCGAGGTACGGTTATGGTGGAGGGCATCACGGTCACAAACAATACGGAGGTCATGGTAGACAAGAGGCTCGCCGTTACTATGGAGGACAACGGCATCATGGACATTATGGCGGACATCATCGGAACGACGGGCGAGATTACAAAAATCACCATGACCATCATGGAAGGCATGGCAACAGACATGGCGGTCATCGGCACAATCGGTATCACAACAACCACCGAGGAAATTACCACCACGGACATGAAGGCGGAAGACATCGTTATGGAAATCATCATGGTGAACGAGGTAAAGAGGGGGGTCACTACGGGAACAATCATTACAAAAATCGCGGACATCGAAATCACGGTCACAGGAATGTGTATCACAAAGAGGATTCAGCTCATCACAGCAGATATTATGACGATTATCATGATGGAGACCATCGCCGGAAGTATCGCGATCATCATAGACACCATGATAGACACGGCGGAGGCGAGCGGCACGGTCATCACCATCGACAACACCACGGACGGTATCGCCACGGCGATGACTACCACCGGCATGGTGGAGGCCATCACAAGAACCATCATGGTGAACATGGACGTCAGGGACACGAGCACCATCGCGAACATGGACAGCACCGTCGTCATGGAGGAGGACATCATAGAGGATCATATCATCATAATGGCGGACACCACCACCAACAGGGGCATCATCGCCATGGTCGCCACGGATACCACTAGTCAACTCTAAAATAGTTATACTCCTCCACGTAGAGAACCCTGTTTTTCAGCTATTGTTTTTTGCGTAACACCAACGCTTTCTTTGCCCAAGGAAATGTTATTGTCTTGTTAAATATTATTACTAGCATAACACAAGTGGCTCTTCATGTCCTTGTCGTTAATGAATGCTTTGCTATAATTCTAGTCGTAAGGTTATTTCTTATGAAATTGTTCTTGTATAAAGGCTATATACGTACATATAATAATGATGTTGTTCTCGTCTACGATATATGAAATCTATGCTTTTACATACATTAACTTTTTCATATCTGGCCTCAAAATGTATCATCACCACCACTTAGGTCATATTGTGTATTCTTGCATGAAAAACTTTTATGTAGCGAGGACCCCTGCGTGTTCTGTGTATAAAGTTACTGTTTAGAAGAAGTTAAGCGTTTTATATCAGGAAATACATAGCAATTTTTTGTAGCTTAGTCGAATTAAGCTATTCAAGGGACACTCTGAGATGTTTTATGCCCGGTATTTAAACCGTTAGGTACTATCACATACATGCGGCCGGCTCCCAACGTGAAATCAAGTGAGCGATATTTTGGAACTGGGCAATTCCTATCTATGTAGAAATTAGGCTCTACCAAGCTCTTAAATGTTCATTACGAATGTTGAACAAGATGCGAACAAATAATTTATTCTTTATTAAACAGTTTCTTAAAAACGAATGTAGCCAAACGAAAGGCCTTTGAAGCTATCGTAACATAACGAGACATAGAAACAATCTTCCAGTGCTTGAGAACTCTGAAGAGACCCGATAAATTCTAAAAGCACCTTATGAAATGAATAATACAAATTCTAGCGTTTCTTTGCTGAATAGAAAATACCACATTTTTTATACTTGTGACAATGAGTGATTATGTTACATATCGTCGGTTATTGCTCATGACCTCTCTCTCTCTCTCTCTCTCTCTCTCTTTTTTTTTTTTATATATATATATGTCGTCTTGCGAAAAAATAGCTGGTTTCTCTTTAACCATCTATTTTTTTGGCAAGCCATGTTTTGCGTTGTTGATCGGTGTTGAAGGCAGACTCCGAAAATGATTGCCTAATGAATAGAAAAAGCCTAAATCTGTCGATGCGAGATCCAAAGTATGGAAGGTGTAACGAAAGTTTTCACTGGAAGTCCAGGAGGGCAGCTTTGACGATGTTTGCCGAGTGTGGCTCCGCGTTGCTATGAAGTAGGATAACTTAGCCTCGTCTGACGGGTATCTACTTGGAATAACTTGGTTGATTCGATGCAATTAGGCTAAGTAAACGTACTAGACACCTCTCTGGTTTGCAAGAACCAATTCCCATTGAATTAGCCCTTGCAATCCCACCAAAAGCAAAGAATAACCTTTTTTAGATTAGGATGTAATTGGACTTTAACTCTTGGCTTCTTTCCTGGAGCCGTATATTCCGATCTCTGGTTGTTGATGTACAGACAGCACTTCTCATCATCAGCGATAACTCTGTGTGAAAAATCGGTCATGGTGGTCTCGTGACGCTCGATACCGTGGAGTTGTTGAGATACATCGTGAACGCATAGCTTTCTTGTTGCATTCAGAAAGTACCCAGATTCCAAATTTCTGTACGAACTCAAAAGAATTGAGACGGCTAACTACGGTTTCGTTACTTTAGCTCATCTTCTCAGCCAATTCTTAGGTTCTTCGTTAGGACCTCTTTCGTTTAAAAAGGTTTTTAGACGACAATCATCAAAAGCAGAAGGTCAGCTAAAGCGAGGTTTCGGATACCACTTTCAAACGTGGCGAACCCTCTTAAGCAGTTACTTCAGCGGTAGCGTCGCTATCGTACACAAAACAAATAGTTCGAGCTATACTGGCAGCGTTTTAGCCTCAACGACATACGTCATGCAAAAGAGGTCGAGAACGCATCTTACACGTAAAACGGCTATATTTGAGGAGTTCCTTAGAACTCACACTCACAACACAACACCATCACCAGAAAAGCAGGCGCTTTTAAACGATATTTTAGACGTTAACAACAACTAAGCTAAGCGGAAAAAAGGGCTTTTGAAAAAATCATCGGATCAATTTGCTGCACTTTGTTAGAAATTGCAGTGCACTGTCAGACACAATTAGAATTAATAAGTAAAGGTTTTCAGAAATTCTTTATAATTAACACAAATGATTTATATGACTAAGCAACGCTTTTTGGCACTTCTAAGCTGGGAGAAACAATAAAAATACCCCTTCCTGATTCGGACAACAGTTTATTTATAAAGGGTAACCAAACAGTAATGAACCTTGTTTTTCTTTGTAATGTCAGCTCAAGACCACCTGTATTTTACAGGTCATAATTATATTTTTTGTCTGCTTGTCCAAGTGCTATTCATGTATAGCGGTAATTGTTTTCGATGGCACAATTGGCACGTTAAGGTGTGTCCGAGTTAGTTAACGCTTTCCATTTGTTAAGAATTTGTGACAGTTATCCGTCGATCGAATTTTTTTTATACAAAGTAAGGCTTTAGATTTTATGTACTTATATAATTTTCGAGATCTACAGAAATGCCTTTGATAGCATTATACTTGTTACAAATTTTCGTTGAATCCAATCAGGTGTTTTAATGTGTTTTCCGCATGCAGGCATTAAGGAATCACAGGACTTATAATTACACATAAAAAGCGAGGCACAGTTAGTGACCTCGTGGACCGCCAGCTAACAGTGATCAAAACATTAGAAACTATAGGTTACTCTACCTAAATTGTTTTAACATATCACGTATCCATACCAGAAGCGGATCCAGAGGAATACAAAGAGACGATAATCATTGACGTTTGTGCCCATCTTGGGCCGGTTCAGTTTGTTATAGATTTTATATGATACGCCACAAATACGCATTCCTGCTCTAATTTGTGCTGTATAACTCAGAGTTAGTCGTTAAAGTGTTCCCACGCTCGACTGTGCAGAGGAAATTATGCTACATTGAACTCTAACCTGAAGGAAATTCATCAGTAAATATTCTTCAGCAACTTCGAAGGTGTGAATAATGTATACGAAGACTTAAGCTCATTAACTCACCAGTTGAATAACGAACAGGCCCCATTCAAACGAAAACGACGGTCACAGAATAACGAATATATGACTTACATCAATTACTAAAAATGAAGTTTCCACAATTACGTTTACAAAAGAATAGCTATTGATGTCTCATAAGGTTCTATTAGACGCCCAAATGGAACGTCAATAGCGGGCAAGCGCGGGAAAGCGTACACACTTAGTGCTTTCCTCGAAGCTACAAATCTTATTAAGTAATTTATATTATAAGTACAATCTTCGCTGCAATTTGATGAGTCATCTAAGGAAAGTCTCTCAGGGTGCGTTCGTTCTTCGGTGTAGGTGATCAACTGATAGACTGAGTTCAAGTTATCTCAACGCGTTAGGAACATCAATGGAAAATATTCAGGCACCGTCAGGGAAACAGTCTTGAAACATTCATGTATATTGTTTATACAAATCCTATAATTTATCGATCGCCTCGCTTATGATGTAAAAGACCATACACATGATGTAAAAGATTTTGTACTTTATGCACTGAAGGCTCCATTGCGTGTACTCGATCGACGCACTAAGCCTACAAACAATCACAACTATCTACAATCTATGGGTTGCCGCAGCAGTCAATCTAAGATACGCAGAACATTCTATATGTACGCAGAACAGATATAGTTATTCACAGAGCACGCCACTTTAATTGGATCATACGATCATATTTCTTTTAAAATATCTGACTTCGTACATAAAAGTAGTCAAACTATGCGCCACGATATACGCAGCGTCTGTATGCTATCCAAATCAGGCAAGTGTGCTAAAAGCTTGAGGAAGTCGGAAATGTACACGCGAAACGCGCTACCTTAAAATGACAACGTAGAAAAAAGCTAGAAATCCTCTCAATGCTCATTGGTCTCAAAGCTATAGGTAGGCAGACGTTCGAAACCTCTAGGTCTGGAAGCAGCAAAATACGATACAATCGAAACAACTACGAGGTCTTACAATAAAGGTGTTACCTAGATGCGTCACTAAAAAGCGTTGTGTAGATAACCCCTTCCCATAAAGACTTCCTCGTGGGCTGCGCGAACAATTATAAGACAGTACGACACACGTGTTATTTTTTTTATAAGTTAAAGCTATTTTTTTATTATGTGTGTATGAAAGCATATAACGCGCTTAACAGAAGAGTAAAAACGGCAGTTTTTTTTTTTTTCGCAACTTACCAAGATAGTGGACTGCAAGGGATCCGCGTGGAATCCTTCTATATTATAGCGTTCTTCTAAGATAGTTATGGCTAAGCTTATGTAAGAAAAGGAAAACAACAGCTGAGCAATTTGCGACACACCTATTGAATTATATTTTAGGCATAGCACATGTTTCAGAAACTAGCCAGAATACATAATTACCTTTTTTAAAGGAATATGCAAAGACCGATCAACCAGATCTTCTTTTTAATATGTGATATTCAGGTCTGATAAGCATAGAACAAGACATAATTTTGATCGGATATGGGACAACTTATTTGTCGCTCATGATTGGGCCTTCTTTCGCTTGATGTCGTTTTTTATTCAAATGCTCTGAACAGCTTACAGTGAGCGTAATATGAAAATATCATATCTCTTGCGTGACGTATTCGTAATAGTTATCTACAACAGCAACATTAGGTTTAGGGCACTGTGTCTTAAGCTTCAGGCAACTCGACCCAGAAATGTATACTAGATCCCTGCGAGTGAGCCCACTCGCCCCCTTACAGGAAGTCACAAAGATTATTTTACTTTTAAATAATAAATTTTATTAAACAGTACATCATGATGTCAGAACATCTCTGTAATTCTTACATAGATGGAAATCTTCTCGGGATAAATCCCAGAATCACTTTCCTAATGACACTAACCTAAGTTCTATATATATATATATATATATATATATATACCCTTTAATATGACTTTCCCTTCTGCACTTTATTTAACCAACTGTTCGGCTGTAGTGGTATTGTTATATACTGTATTTTACGCGAAACAAGATCTAATAATTTAGGTGTAACATTGATAAAATTTTGTTTCATCTTTATTATATTTGTCTAGTAGCAAGTGTTATTTTTTTTTTGTCATATGTGTAAGGTGTTAATTAAGCCAACTTTTTTTTATAGTCCCTGAAAATTATTCGAACTAACAACAATTCCCCATAATTATCTTATACTATTTTAGATTCCTAATACGTTAGGAAAATCTTAAGAATTTTAATTCAATTTCTTTATATAACTTTATAAAATTTATTTTATTTATTATTTTATATAACTATGTAAAAATTAACTATTTTACCAATATGAACTATCCAAGGTAGTAGCGCTTTTATGCCTATAGTATCTTTTTAATAATTTTTATGGAACTCTTTTAGTAAGGTTAATAATTATTTTTCCACAGCATCAGAACTAAGCACTCTTAAGCGTCCACCTGCTGCCTGGTGGGCAGCCTGAATACCTATTTAGTCATAAATTGGCCCCGACCTTCCGGTTGCACCACGTAGCGGACATCATGCCCACACAAATCATGTTTCAGCTCGCCCAATCGACTGGCCACTGTTTTATTACGTCTCTTAAGTACACGTTTAAATCGTCAACAGCAATGGCACGTGTTATTTTAGTGTGCCATATATTTGAACACGTATCGTTTGCACACCACACATCAATGTCCACTACTTGAATGCGTGTCATAACTGGTCACGCCGCTAGTCACTTTATATATATCTGTTTCGTATTGTCGGTTTGATGTAGTGCTACATTAATTCAACTTTGCTAAGGCTATCGAGCACATCGACAAAGTAGTACTGCCGTTTATGCCTATTGGCATAAAAGTGGGCTCGCTAAGCGAAAGACTAATTCGTCCGCTGCGGTCAATCGTCTCGCGGACTTCGTCAGGCAAGGCAAGTTCCGTGGAAGCAACGTCCTTAATTAACGTGCTTGGCCACTGACGAAAGATTGCTTTCATGTCCAGCGGGCCGTGATTGCAGAAGAAGCTTGCTACTTATCTCATGCTACAAAAAGCACGTTCTGCGGCGTTCGTTTTCGGTCCCGTAAGTTGGACACAGCTAGACACAGACAAGCAGTTGTTTCAACAGACATGTACAGCTTCTCCAACATGAAAAGCCCGCCCGGACAGTCAGTCGAGACTCCTACATGCACACACAGCTGGAGCATTTGTATATACTGCTATTACCGCGCCACTGCAGTCTTGTTTAAATGTAAGTAGCACGCCACCTTCATTTGTCTTTTATAACATTTGTTTCATTTGATAACGTTTCTGAGGTCACCTTTGCAGCAGCCGCCTATGTCCAGTTTATCTATACTGACGGTACATACTAAATCGCGATTTGCACCGCGTAAAACACGCACACGAACTCATGGCAACTTTTATGGCCAAATTTAACGCGTGGACCACTGAACTGACGTACAACTGATACACATGAAACCGGTGAAAGACGTCTGTTCGAAATCTGGTCGTTGAGATCTAGCAGAGGAACGTTCCGGCACCTTGTTTGGCAAAAAAAGCAGCAGCAGACCTCAAGAAAAACAAAGTATAATGGTTTGGTCCGGATCGGTTGTCGAAGAGGAGGAGGGCAGGCCAATAAGAATGTTACGCATGGCCGGAGGCTTCATTACTCATAGACGGACACCGAACTATCATCGATCTGTCATCCAGCCACGCCCGTGAATTCTGAGGATCGCATCGACTAGAATGGTTGTCTATTTGTCCTAGAGCTGCTTGGCATGTAGGGCACTTATAGCGACTCTGTAAGACGAACCGTGAAAGTAGCGCTCTGAAAGTGTTTTGTTATTTTCTAAACAGTTCCTTGTTATAGTCAGCGAGGTCGCTGCCGTCGTCAGTAATCGATCGGCCTTCCTCACCAAGAACTTCACTGCACCGCGGGCCCTTACACTTCTTCACCGTGACTTAACGGGACCTGACCTTGTCACGATGATGCCACTAGATAGTTTGACTTCCTACAGCTGCACACGGCGAATTTAAATGGCAAGAAATAAGTTAAAATTATTAGTGATGGAGACTTTCAATTATAATCTGAGCTTCAGGTACAGCCTTTTACCATTTGTCAGTTTGCAATACCTTTAAAGTATCTGTAGCATATCGTGCCTAATTCATATAGCCCGCATATGGGTAGTTCACTAGTCGGAAGACACTAGTGTTCAATGTCACAATTTAAGGGAAGAACAAATAATGTCGATGCACTGCAGCGGAAAACATTCACATTGTTCTAGAAATAAAGATAACAGATTCTGAGAACTGTTGAAAATTCAGTTCGAGAGTTGTTCATAAGTAAGCGCCACTACTTTGGCTGTTAAGCATTACATCAGACGCCCAGTTCCCATTACGAAGCGTGTGCCCAGTTACGCCCAGATTCGCATCTGGACCACCGAATGCCCCAGGGAAGAAGTTACCCAATGCAGTATCACGAAAACAGCTATTCCTAACTGGAATTTCAATTTGCTTATATTCATGCATCTATTATTTATAAATACGCTCTAAGTAAAACGACAGGACGAACGGCTACGCAAAAAATTTCATACGAGATAGATAGTTCCAGATGACCTTGAATTAAAGATGCTACAACAAGAGTTTAGCTATGAATATCTTATAGTTGAAAACACTCTGAAATGGTATGTTGCCTAAGTAAAAAAAATGAATTGTCTTTCTTTATTGACGTTAAGTGTCACAGTCAAGGAGTTCTCGTAACTGAACCTCTACGATAGCAACATAATCATTCGTGCTCACTGAAGAAGAGTGTTTGTGAGCGTAAAATAGATTTTTCGCAAGTGAAGATACATCTTCTCACGCATGTGGTAAGGCAAACCTTACTGACACAAATTCACCTGATTTATTGTTTTCAGAATATAGAATTTGAGGCGAGCATAGAAAGCTGAAACCAAAAATGTGATGTTATGAATTAGGTTCGAAAGTACAAAAGATGATAAGGAATTCATCTTTCGATCTATTATTGAACTGAAAAGCGGACTGTTAATGAAGAATATATTTTCTGACTGAAGAATATGAAGAAAAAACAAAGGAAAAAGAATTACGTGCGTTCACTTATGAGGATCCCTGAATGCTATTGCTTGTATGCAAACACAATTGGCTAGAAAAGCTAGAAAGCAGGCTTTTAAAACAGACGTCTGTATATTCGGATCGAATACATTCATCTTCATTTTTTGATCAGGGTACGTCCTGTAGAAAAGCTATTGACGTAATATTCAAAGCTACTGACTCGTAGACAATAAATTTTTAAAAATAATTGTTGATCATCCTTAGCTTTATAAGAAGTTGAGTATGCCTTGTGATGAAAGGGATCTAGTGTTCAATTGCTGTATGTCATATATATCTATATATATTTTTTTTCGAGTTCTTTTTCGAATCCTACCTTTTCCCCTGTGGCAACGCTCTTCATTTGTTGTCTTCAGCTTGTTTGTAACCCTATTCAATACTGTTTCCCCATGAACCTATCATGAACGATCTCCCGTGCAGAACCACGTTTACAACTCAAAATGTTCCAAATAAGGGCGGTCGCATACAATGTCACCGCAGTCGATACCCACAACTATATTATCGATTTGCGCGCATTAGACAAAGTGACTTCCATTCTGTTTCGAAGCTTTTAATTAAGGTAATGAGTATGACCTAGTATACCATGCGATGGAATTCTCATCCAGCGAGCTAGAACTGTTACGGGAAATCTGTACTTTATCATTGATCACAAGAAACTAATGGGGAATTTACGAATAAATTAGATCAGTTAATAGCGTCTCCAAACGCTGTAGCTGTGGACGCCACTTGTTGTTGTGACGCCATCAATTGTTTTGGGCAAAAATTTCCTTTTCCCGATCCTAAAGTCCTCATATAAATTTGCCTTGCGTATTACCATCTTATAGTTTGGATATAGAATCTGCCTGCTCACTGAAATCCGCAAACATATATATGTTATGCCTAGAAGGTTCAGAGACAAATAAGTCATATTTTACGTCTGATACGCTAGTCGATGTTTAAGATCATGGAAGATAATTTGAAGACCAGTAATGGCAAGCAATCCGCACCATTCATTTATCTCAAAGCAATGTAGTGTGAGATAAGTCACCTTTTTGATGAAAAATATGGAACATTTTCAATGCTGCACTGTAATAAATCGAAGCAATAATGATAATACAATTATTAATATTAATAAATATATATAAACCAAGGTAGTATATATCATTTGAATGTGCAGACAATCAGCAGGTAGCGAAAATCAACTCGAACCAACACACTTACTTTCTCCTACAAACGACACGTTACTACTACGCAATTTCTGTGAGAAACATGAGAAAGCTTCTAATTTCTCGTGTTGTTACCATACTTGTATTTACGATGGCTGAAACTTTGCCTTAGAAGCGATCCAATAAAGGTGAAAACATTGTCATTTTGATAACCACCATAATATAGAATATTATATTGATAAAAAAAGCGGCCGGCCTAATCACTCCAAGTGTCTGGCGCCTTTCATCCAAATTCGAAGTGCTCATACGTCGTATTACTGATAATATCCTCCCAGTCAATAAGAGAATACAGAATATTTACGTCACCCCGTTGAGATCTCTACGGTGACGTCGGCGACGTGTCAACACCAAGGGAACAGCCAGCTTTCTCTTTCCTGTCTCTGTGTGTTGCAAAGGCTGCCTCTTATTGACAATTGCAGCTTTGTTCTATTATCATTCTCTCGAACGAGCTCTTGACGAGAAACAAAGTCCCAGTGCCAACGACAAGACTGGCAAGCTGACACGCTGAAACGCTAGAAAACGAGCGAATTTCATTTGTCTGCGGGAAGCCGTAACGGACGCTGTCAAGGAGAAACTTTTTTTGTAGGATTTGTTTAAGGACATACAGCAAAAATATTTCACAAAAAGTTTTTTTGATACGAACCCATGCAAGGAATAGGTCGGGGCATAGTGCGGTTGGTGCAAAGAGGCGGCCATGGAAACGTTTTTGGACGACCTTCAGGAATCTTGGAGAAAGGAAAAAAGGTATGAACGTGTTTATTATTTCGTTAATCCCATTAGTTGACGTAAATGTATCTTAATACGTAGAAAATTCTGGCATTGCGCGTATCGTGGCTCTTTATAACTTCTTTCGTGGCGTTCCAGGACGGCTTTTTCCTTGCGTATTTTTTTTTTCGCCATGGCCTTTATAACTGTAGGACAACGCTTTTTTTTCTAAAACCTTGTTCAAAAACCTAATATCAAAAAAGTATCCACCGACTTATATAT